ACATCACAGCCATGAGGCCAGATCAATGAAACCAGGATACATCCTTTACTGTAAAAACTGGATCCAAACACAGCTGCCTGTGTGCGCTTGATCAATACTTTCTGATGTTATATGATATGCTACATATTAGCTAGGCTACATGGCCCTAACGTGTAAAGTTATACAAGCATTTGTACCAGTGCTTTTCACAAGTAGACTCTTGCAGGCCAGAGTATAGGAGTGATTCAACAACAACACAAAGACATATGAGAAGTGATCAGGACGAACAGAAAGAGGAAAAGGAAAAGAGAGTTCACTGAATAAAAAAATTAATTAAATATATATTTATTTGGCAGGGACAGTGCACATTGATTGACATTTCTGTAAATGCGCCAGAGTTAGCCAACAGGCTATTTTTCGTCTGTAGTCCCTGGACAGATGTTAAAAGTCATCCTAAAAACCAAAATTAATTTCATATAACAGATAAAAACAATCAGTAAAACAACATTCAACAGAGATACTTATATAAAAGCATATATAAAAACATAAAAACTAAACTAAAATACATATTCACAAAGCAGACAGATACAGTTCAAGGCATATGTACAAACAGAGCGTTGTAATGTACAGATTGTGTCAGTGTTGACAGAGCTGACTTTCCACTAACGAGACCAGGAGGGTCAGAGCAGGAGGAAGAGGAGGAGATGAAGAGACCAGGAGGGTCAGAGCAGGAGGAAGAGGAGGAGATGAAGAGACCAGGAGGGTCAGAGCAGGAGGAGGAGATGAAGACATTAGTGAAGAAGAAGAAATGTATGTGAGGAATAAAGATGAAGTGTCAGAAAGAGGGACAGAGGCAGGGATCAGGAGGCAGATGAAACTCCAGCTGGACCACATGGTATGTTCTTATTCTCCTTACATATTCCATCACAGCAGCACAATCTAGCAGCTCTTAGTATTGACAAATATTGATTGAAATGTGTTGCTGCACAGGTCACCTGTAGCTCTCTGAAGAGATGGGTGATGTCATTTGTGTACTTAATTATAAGTTGAAATGTTGAGCTTGTCAATCTTAATCTGAAAATACAAAAACTGAAATATAGGTAAGAGAAGAAACTGACACTTCTGTGATGTAATTCCCTCAATGCAGATCACAGATGGACTGATCCACACATGGACTGATCCATTATTTTAATAGGAGGGTAAATGGTATGGCGTGACGGGATTGAAACAAACTGAGGGACAATATTGCAATTTCATAGATAATTCAAGTATTTGTTCAGAATTTATTTTTGATCAGTTAAAGTTGACAAGCATGTGATTATATTAGCAGCAACATTTTGGGATAATTGGCCATTTTGATTTGTTTGATATTAAATTAATATGTAATAATGCTTAGTGAGGACATGCAAATATGTCTATCTAATACTAAGAAAACCCATTTTTTAAAAACAAAATATATATTTAGTTTGACATTGTAATGCAAAACAACCTGTTCCACTAATTAATTGCTTTAAAATACATGTTGTAGTTTCCTTTCATTTAAAATGGTTGAGGTAAGCTTGGGGGACTCAAAGGGCACCCGATTGTTTGTCTGAACACCTTGTTTCTCTTGTGCATTAAGAACACTTGTGTTAGGGCATGAATTAACAATACATAGGTTATATACAGTATAACATACCACGTACTGTCCGCCCTCCCATGCCACCCTGGCATGACCTCTTGCCCCCCCTTTGCCCCCCCATGTAAACAATTATAGAACCGCCACTGCAGATGAGTCATTTTGTTCTGGGACCGGGCCTGCCTACTGTATATGCGGCGAGCCTTCATTGTAACTGTCACACTGTGTATTTGCGTGGGGAGTGTTGCAGTAGAACATTCCTCTGTAGCGCCCGGTGCATTAATGGGAAACCCTAAATGTTTGAGCACCCTCTATGAAACGTCAGCTACCCCACAGCACCCCCAAAAGAAATATCTGGCGCCGCCACTGAGCCTGACTATTTGTGTTGGGGGGGCCCGACTTGTTTTTTTCTCCAAAGGGGGGGCCTGACAGAAACAGTTTGAGAACCACTGGGTTAATCCAATGTGTCACTTTGAAATTATTTCTGATAATCCATCAGCAATAAAACTAGTTCTAAGTTTTCAGAGCGGAAGGTAGGTTTGGGCAAACTGCGTGCACATAGCTCTCATTTCTCAATGGTAACGTGTATGTGGAAATTCCCCTTCGATTCTATTGGCTCTAACGGTTAAAAAGAGATGTCAATCATCAAAATCGACCAATGAGTTCCAGAGAAACGGCAAATACGCCCATTTCCACCCAAATGACCCCATTTGCTAAACCTCTCTAAAAAGGTCAAAGGTCACTTGTTTTGCATCAATCTTGATACAGGGTACTTATTATATGTTGTACTTTGGATTCCTAAAGCTTTTGGTTTACCTTCCCATCATCCAAGGTTAGTTTTAGAAATTCCCCTTCTCATGGACGCCCTGAATCCACCAAACAAGAGTCAACAGAAAAACAGCTGTTGATTGGCAGAGGAGATTTGTCACATTTGTCATGGGCGCACCCCACACACTCAGCTCTGCTGCTCATCCCACAAATGCATGTTCCTCACAAATGTGGTTCCATTGGAAGATAAGAAAACAGGCTTTCCAACGGGATGAGATGTATTGCCAAAAGGCATTGTTACAACACAGAAATCATCTACCACGATTCTTCTCTGACATCATTACCAAACACAAATTGCCTTACGTTTTTTTTAAAACTATTTTACAACAATGATACTGTACATACAAATACTTAGACAACGTATACATATACCAAATAAGTACAATAAAACATAACAAAATACTGATAATATTCGTTTTTAAAAGCAATAAAAACTGAAATATGTTCTTTAATGGGATGTAAAGTGGAGATCTGTGCAGAGTTCTTAAAGACGAAGCGTAGAACTGAATGTGCATGAATGGGTTTCTAAAGAATGCACTGATGAGGCTGTAATGCTGTTGTGAAACCCTCTTGCACAAGTTCCTGAAAGAAAGCCATTGTTTAATTGTTTAATCACCAGGCCAACCTGTTTATGCCTGTGCTGTGAGCACCACGGCCCAAACCACCCCCCGACCTCCTGTCACACCACCGGGGAAATCCAACCTGACTCCACAAACCAGCTGATCAACGCCACCGAGACACACCTGCTTCTCAGGTCAGAAATCTAAAACACGGTGATTTATTACAAACCCATCAGGAAATGTCTCTCATCCAGTCTTTGTTTTTGCAGAGTGCTCACAGGAGTGCCGCTCTGGTACACGATGCTGCGATGGGGTTCCTTTGCATCCTTGGTGATGTTTATCTGCGTATTTATGACGTGTGCTGAGGAGGAGGAGCAGGAGGAGGAGGAGGAGGAGGAGGAGGAGGAGGAGGAGGAGGAGGAGGAGGAGGAGGAGCCCCATTTATTTTCCTCACAGACGGCAACAAAAGTCCGAAATTATACGATTTAAAATAAAAGCAATAATTGTGGCTTGATATTGAGTAAGAACATGTTTTTATGAACCACACAGCTTCCGGTCTCCCACGACCCGACCGGAGAAAAATACGTGCTGCAGGCAGTAGAAATACGTTGCTTTTAAAATCGTGCTGTGCAACACGAAAAAAAGGGGCAAATCGTGTTGGTGAACACGAATCAATAGATTAAAAATCGTGTTGGTGAACACGAAATGCCGTGAGACTGGGTTGAGATATCACTCAGACTCAACAATCATATTTACAGATGGCTCCAAAGATCCAGAGACAGGGCGTGCAGGGGCAGCAGTGTATATCCCAGTGAGTAATACACATAGAAAGAAAAGGGTAACAGACCATGTGTCAGTATACACCACAGAGTTGTTGGCATTGGTACTGTCATTGAAATGGATAGAGGAGAAAGAAATACATAACAGTGTAATTGCATCTGACAGCTTTTCAGCATTATCAAGTATACGATCAGGGAGATCTTCATCTAGAATGGACATCATAAATGAAATATTTCTAATTTTACATCAAATGCAAATCAAAGGCATAGCAACTCGTTTCATCTGGGTTCCTGCTCATGTTGGTGTGGAGGGAAATGAACAGGTGGATATTCTGGCCAAACAAACACTCAGAAGTATGAACATAGACATAGAAGTTCCACTCAGCAAAGCGGAGGTTCAAACATTCATTCAGAAATATGCAACATGGCAAGATCATTGGGACCTTAGTGATACAGGAAGACATCTTTATAACATTCAAAGGTATGTGGGGGATGGAAGGAAGGTGGGGTTTAAAAGAAGGGAGGAAAATGTCATTTCTCGGATGAGAATAGGTCATACAGGTCTCAATCATACATTAAGTATAATACAGGTCTCAATCATACTTTAAGTATAATACAGGTCTCAATCATACTTTAAGTATAATACAGGTCTCAATCATACTTTAAGTATAATACAGGTCTCAATCATACATTAAGTATAATACAGGTCTCAATCATACTTTAAGTATAATACAGGTCTCAATCATACTTTAAGTATAATACAGGTCTCAATCATACATTAAGTATAATACAGGTCTCAATCATACTTTAAGTATAATACAGGTCTCAATCATACTTGAAGTATAATACAGGTCTCAATCATACTTTAAGTATAATACAGGTCTCAATCATACATTAAGTATAATACAGGTCTCAATCATACTTTAAGTATAATACAGGTCTCAATCATACTTTAAGTATCATACAGGTCTCAATCATACTTTAAGTATAATACAGGTCTCAATCATACTTTAGGTATAATACAGGTCTCAATAACACTTTAAGTATAATACAGGTCTCAATCATACTTTAAGTATAATACAGGTCTCAATCATACTTTAAGTATAATACAGGTCTCAATCATACTTTAAGTATAATACAGGTCTCAATCATACATTAAGTATAATACAGGTCTCAATCATACATTAAGTATAATACAGGTCTCAATCATACATTAAGTATAATACAGGTCTAGCTTATTAGCATCGCCATTCACGTGACGTAGCATTTTTCCCATTGAAATGAATGGGGTTCTTCAGTTAGCAGCTAACGCTAAGCTAAGCGACGGTTTAGCTCATTAGATAAATAGATATACTTTATTTAAATAATGATTTATCTTAAAGTGGGAAATGAATGTGTCACAGCAGAAGTGTTTTCAGGCATTACACGAGTTAAACATATTTAAAAGACGCAATAAGATATAATAAAAATGAAGCATTAGCAGCAAGTATACACACAGGACACATATCACTAGAGTATCTAAAGAATACACAATATACAGAAAATACTGTATACATGGAGTACATTAAACAGTCTCACTAGCTAATGTTTGCTTTCTGTGTTAACTTAGTGATAGTTACACACGGATAGCGCTATAACAGTGGTTCAAACAACCATTAATGTCACTTTCTATGTGAATAAAGTCATTTTAATGAAATAAAAGTGAACAAACTGTGAGCTGTAAGTTAGAATGTAAGTTGCTACACAGATTATGATGAATTATATCTAAATATTTGTATTATATTAATAATAATTTACACAGAAAACCAACTTGTTATCGTAATGGTTAAAGTAATGTGCATGTAACGTTAATAACTATCTGACCTTTCTATCATGTTCTCCTCTGCTTAGCATCACATTGACTAAATGGATCAATTTGGACCATGTTTACGTCACAGCAGCATAGATAAGACAAGGCACTGCACATGGTGTGATAAAACACTACATATAAGCATCTAGAAATAGAACATATCATTGAATAAACTCTTTGAATTCCTCCTCTTCACTGCTGACAGTTTATGATGAATTATATCTAAATACTTGTATTATATTAATAATGAAGCAGCTCTGTGGTCTTCATCAGGACAGCTGATGAGCAGCATGGAGGAGAAGAAAGAGACCCCTGGAGCTCAGGTCAGTGTGCACTTCATCACAATATATTCCTAATTCCAGCGTTTCCGCCAGGCGGGCGTCTTGCCTTCATGTGACGCCCTTATTCAGCTGGGAACGCCCTATACAGACATAAATACACCAGCGACTGTATTCACCATGACACAGACAGTCTGTGGTTTGTACTTGTTTAACTTCTGTCTAGTTTCTAAACAGATATGAGGAGCTGTGAGCTCACAACTGTATCATCAGCATACATCACATTCTCCACACACAGAAGGCGGATCATTTACGTCATGATGACGTCACGGCTCCGCCTACACTGCGTTACTATAGTTACTGCTAGGGTGGTAAGTGTCCGGAACGTTTCCTCTGGCCGAGGAGGCTTGAAACGAACCGAATTCCGGAGCTAAGAGGCTGCTCCGCTTCAGTGTGAACAGGAAAACCCGGTGCTTTTCAAGCTCCAGCTCCGAACCGGCCCTGAAACACCGTTGGTGTGAATGAGGTGTGAAGTAGATCTGAGGCCATGCAAGGAAAACCATCTTGGAAAAACCCTGTTGGAATAATATCAAGGCAGCAGGAAGAGGATTTCAGAAGTTGAATAATGTCCTCTAGGTTTTTATCATTAATCTGATGGAACTGTGTCATGGTGTTTGTATTGATTTTAGGTGGACACAGGGACAACACATCTGCTGTACCTGATGCAGAGGCTCTGACTGCTGGTCTGATTTTCTGAAAGGGGGGGATACTGACGCTGGGGGGTTAGTTAGTCTGTCCACGGTAGCATTGTTTTTGTTTTTAGCAATGATGTCAGAGAAGAAAGACTGTCGTGCAATTTACAATTCCAAATGATAAAAGCCAAGTCTTTCTTTATAGATTTCAAAGTGAACCTGGAGATTTGTTTTTCTCCAGTGTACATTAATCAACATATTAAAAACATGTAAAAGTACTCAAATTAGCCAAAAGGCTAGTTTTCACCGATAGTCCCTTTGCCAGATGCTGATAGACATCCTAAAAGCAATAATAAAAATACCACAACATTGTTATACCATTGTACATATTTACAATAGATGACATCACTGAATACAGATAAGAGCAAGTCATGATAATAAATACAAAATGTACAATACGCACTCATACACACACCTACACCCACACATCAGTGCTGACACTGTTGATTATTAATGAGCCACTTTTTAACACTGTGCTTGAATGTGTAGTAGGATGAGGACTCTCTTATTGGTTGTGGTATTGAATTCCATTGATGGGATGCGTGGAATGAAAGACAGCCTGGCTGAATGCGCTCTTCTTAAATGGGATGGTGCAGTCTCCCCTAGCCGCACCTCTAGTAGCCCTGGTTGAGGTGGACTTTAGGCTGATGCAGCCAGCCAGAGGAGGAGGAGCCAACCTACGAGTGATCTTATAAACTAAGCAGATGTTTTTGTAAACTATGAGATTTTCCCAGCTGAACAGATTATACTTTTTAACAATGTGACAGTGATGATACCGGAATGGCTTTTTGTCTCGTGTTCTGAGTGCTTGTTTATACAGTGATTCCAGTGGCCTTAGAGCTGTAGAGTGAGCATTAGACCAGCTGATCAGACAGTAGTAGATGTGGGAGAGGACCATGGAGTTAGTTCAGTGGCCTTAGAGCTGTAGAGTGAGCATTAGACCAGCTGATCAGACAGTAGTAGATGTGGGAGAGGACCATGGAGTTAGTTCAGTGGCCTTAGAGCTGTAGAGTGAGCATTAGACCAGCTGATCAGACAGTAGTTGATGTGGGAGAGGACCATGGAGTTAGTTCAGTGGCCTTAGAGCTGTAGAGTGAGCATTAGACCATCTGATCAGACAGTAGTAGATGTGGGAGAGGACCATGGAGTTAGTTCAGTGGCCTTAGAGCTGTAGAGTGAGCATTAGACCAGCTGATCAGACAGTAGTAGATGTGGGAGAGGAACATGGAGTTAGTTCAGTGGCCTTAGAGCTGTAGAGTGAGCATTAGACCAGCTGATCAGACAGTAGTAAATGTGGGAGAGGACCATGGAGTTAGTTCAGTGGCCTTAGAGCTGTAGAGTGAGCATTAGACCAGCTGATCAGACAGTAGTAGATGTGGGAGAGGAACATGGAGTTAGTTCAGTGGCCTTAGAGCTGTAGAGTGTGCATTAGACCAGCTGATCAGACAGTAGTTGATGTGGGAGAGGAACATGGAGTTAGTTCAGTGGCCTTAGAGCTGTAGAGTGAGCAGTAGACCAGCTGATCAGACAGTAGTAGATGTGGGAGAGGACCATGGAGTTAGTTCAGTGGCCTTAGAGCTGTAGAGTGAGCATTAGACCATCTGATCAGACAGTAGTAGATGTGGGAGAGGACCATGGAGTTAGTTCAGTGGCCTTAGAGCTGTAGAGTGAGCATTAGACCAGCTGATCAGACAGTAGTAGATGTGGGAGAGGAACATGGAGTTAGTTCAGTGGCCTTAGAGCTGTAGAGTGAGCATTAGACCAGCTGATCAGACAGTAGTAGATGTGGGAGAGGACCATGGAGTTAGTTCAGTGGCCTTAGAGCTGTAGAGTGAGCATTAGACCAGCTGATCAGACAGTAGTAGATGTGGGAGAGGACCATGGAGTTAGTTCAGTGGCCTTAGAGCTGTAGAGTGAGCATTAGACCAGCTGATCAGACAGTAGTAGATGTGGGAGAGGACCATGGAGTTAGTTCAGTGGCCTTAGAGCTGTAGAGTGAGCATTAGACCAGCTGATCAGACAGTAGTAGATGTGGGAGAGGACCATGGAGTTAGTTCAGTGGCCTTAGAGCTGTAGAGTGAGCAGTAGCCCAGCTGATCAGACAGTAGTAGATGTGGGAGAGGACCATTGAGTGAAGGTATAGCTTAGCTGCTGCAGATGATAGGAAGTTTCTAATGTATATGTAATTTGACAGATTGCACTTTACTTTATTGCAGACCTTTTTGATATGGGTTTTGAAATTGAGGTTTGTGTCAATATGTACTCCTAAGTACTTGTACTCCGAGACAACCTGAAGTCTCCTTCCAGAAAAGAAAACATCTTGCTCTGTTATAATGCTGTGGCCCTTGGAGAAGAACATACACACTGTCTTTGAGACATTTGGTTGCAAACAATTATTGTTAAGCCAGGATGTAATATTCTCCAACACATCAGTGACCTTGGTAGCAGCCTCTTCTGCGGTTTTGCCATGAGTAAAAACAACTGTATCATCAGCATACATTAATACATCACATTCTCCACACACAGAAGGCAGATCATATATGTACATACTAAACAGGATTGGGCCCAATACAGAGCCCTGCGGTACTCCAGTTGACAAACACTAGACTTATGGTTCTCAATTTGAACACATTGGGAGCGGGATGAAAGATACGAATGAAAGAGGTTGGTGAATTCTATAGAAACATTTAAGTTGAGTATTTTTTGCAATAAGATGTTGTGATTAACAGTGTCAAAAGCTTTCCGTAAGTCAAGGAACAGGGCCCCCACAACCCCACCCCTGTCCATTGATGCCTTAACTTTCTCCACGAAGAAGCATGTCACTGTTTCTGTTGAGCGATTAGCCCTGAATCCAAATTGCATTGGATGCAGTGGAAAGGAGCTGTTGTTGAGATGATTGATTTGTTTGGCAATCAATTTCTCAAATACCTTGGATACTATGGGTAAGATACTGATGGGCCTATAGTTGGATGTCATGAGAGGGTCCCTCCCCACCAGTCGGGTGCTGGGCGGTGTGAACAGAGCGGGAGCAGAAAAGGGAAACCGGAGCTGAACCAGAAAAGCTCTAGCTCGGAGCTAGAAAGGGAAAAGTGCTGGTGTGAAAGCCGCAAGTGTGAACAGGAAAACCCGGTGCTTTTCAAGCTCCAGCTCCGAACCGGCCCTGAAACACCGTTGGTGTGAATGAGGTGTGAAGTAGATCTGAGGCCATGCAAGGAAAAACATCTTTGAAAAACCCTGTTGGAATAATATCAAGGCAGCAGGAGGAGGATTTCAGAAGTTGAATAATGTCCTCTAGGTTTTTATCATTAATCTGATGGAACTGTGTCATGGTGTTTGTATTGATTTTAGGTGGACACAGAGACTGTGTGTCTCTGCACAGATCTGCTGTACCTGATGCAGAGGCTCTGACTGCTGGTCTGATTTTCTGAATGGGGGGGGTACTGACACTGGGGGGTTAGTTAGTCTGTCCACGGTAGCATTGTTTTTGTTTTTAGCAATGATGTCAGAGAAGAAAGACTGTCGTGCAATTTACAATTCCAAATGATAAAAGCCAAGTCTCTCTTTATAGATTTCAAAGTGAACCTGGAGATTTGTTTTTCTCCACCTACGTTCAGCTTTTCGACACTCTCTTTTTGCTGTTCTCACGGTCATGGCCTTTCTCCATGGAGATCTTTTCTTCCCAGTCACTTCCTTCACCTAAGTTATTTTTGAATTTAAATAATCTACTAGCTCATTTACTGAGATGTTAGCAGGGGCAAGTGTGGAAGAAACATCCTGAGTAAACATTTCCCTAGTGTTTTCAGTTAAATATCGCTTTGTGGTTACCTCTTTTTGAACATTTGTGTGGACAGAAATAGAGCTCTCAAAGGAATGATCAGAGAGCGCAACATCAGTCACCACAACCTCAGAGATATTCAGACCCTTTGAGATCATTAAGTCCAGAGTGTGCCCCTTATTGTGCGTGGGCTCCGTCACATGCTGAGTCAGTCCATAGTTATCAAGAACACAAAACAGTTCTTTAGCCCCTCTGTCCTGGGGGTTGTCAACATGGATGTTAAAATCACCAACAATGACTAGACGGTCAAAGTCAAAACACACTATAGACAGCAGTTCAGTAAAGTCATCAAAAGAAGCTAAAAGAAGCTAAGAGCACAGCTGAACTCCTGCAGCCCTGGGGGGCCCCTACATTGGTTGTGATGGCAGATGACAGGGTTTGGTCAAGTTGCTCTCTACTGGTGAGGAAAGCGGCATACCAGTAAATCAGGTATGGATTTACTTCCATTTTTGACACCAAGATGTCTGCTTGTATTGTGTTTGTTACAGCCGCTGCTACCTTGTGAGCTTAAGGCTGTTTGTGTATGTAAATGAGCTGTGCAGTTCCTCTGCTGTCATTGGCCGTCCGGACCGCTCAACATCCGCGGGGATTGGACAGACGTCGCCCAACCCCTGTTCGCAGATGCTCTGTCCAGACTGGAGTGATGTGTTCTGTGGTCATGGTGTGTGAGGTGTTATGGTTCACAAAAACCCTGTGGGGTTTGTGTTTTAAGGGGGGGGTGTTACAGCCGCTGCTACCTTGTGAGCTTAAGGCTGTTTGTGTATGTAAATGAGCTGTGCAGTTCCTCTGCTGTCATTGGCCGTCCGGACCGCTCAACATCCGCGGGGATTGGACAGACGTCGCCCAACCCCTGCTCGCTTCTGCCACGTCATCCGGGGGAGGAGTATAAAGGCTGAGCACGGACAACAGTCGGGAGGCTCTGTATTTTGTGTCAGATGCCTCAACCCTATCCTTGTGATAAGCCTTCATTCTGTGAATTCTGAGAGTATTTAGCCGTGTGTCTTTTGTATTAGCTCCACTGATTAGCAGTGTCTATAGTAGGGTTCTAGGCGAGCACACTGAATAGCAGTGTGTCGTCGGGTTCTGTGTTAGCGTAGGGATTTTGTGTGTGTGTATACTGCTTAGATCCAGGTTGATTAGCACCTGTAGACCAGCATTCCTGTGTGTTTATACTGCTTAGATCCAGGTTGATTAGCACCTGTAGACCCGCACCAGCTGTGTGTTTCCACAGTCCCGTTTTGTTTATTGTTTGTTTCCACTTTAGTAGTGAGATTTGTTTTTCTTTGTGTAGCGGGGCAACTCTCTTTTGGAGACCCTTTGTGTTGTATTATAGTGACAGATTGACCCGTGTTGTGGGGCCAATCTGTGTGACCATCATTTTGCCTAGTTTCAGTGACAATAAAACCACCGGTAACAAATATACCAAATCCAATCTGGTCGTGTCGTTTCCCGTTTGTACCCTAGCCAAGTGGGAACGTAACAGTGTTGCTGCTGAGAAGTCTAGGAAGAGGGCTCTTGCATAGGTGTGACGTTTATCTAAATGTTTAGTGATGATGTGAACCAGAGTAGCAGCAGTACCACCCTCTTGCTTATAGGCAAATTGGTATGGATCAAGTATGTCTTGTGCGTCACAATAGGTTTAGCTGAAGAGGTCATTCCTGTCACGGTTCTCATGGTGTCCCACACTATTTTGGGGTCTTTGGCTTTAAAAGCATTTCCCAAAAGCTCTCTGTGTGTTTTGATTCCCTCAATTTGACTTTCAGTTCTCTCTCTGTCTGTTCAAGTGCTCCATAGTCTTTGTTTTATGTCCTTAGTCACATATGATTTATTACTTTCTTTTCTGGTTCCCTTGAGTTTGGTCTTATACACTGGTATCATATTCACAGCACTATGATCAGAGTTCAGTATTGGTGGTCTGTATTTAGACACATAGGCTCCTTTATCATTAACAAAGCATTTGTCCAGGATATTGTCTTTCCTGCTGTGATCGCTAACATACTGCTGGAACCCAGGTAACACAGTCTCCAGGCGACATTGCTTCATGTCCCCGAGCACTATTGCCGGTGCATCGGGGTGGCTGAGTTGCAGCTCGTGAACACAGTGTCCTCGGCCGCTGGGAGGCACGTAAACAACAAACAGTCAAATACACCCAAATTCTCTAGTCAGATAAAAGGGTCTTAACGTCATGCCGAGAATTTCTACGTTGGGATTGCAGGTTTTACATTCTACTGAGTATGATCGGCACCACAGATCATTAATATACACACAAATACCGCCTCCTATGGTTTTCCCCGAGTTCGCATCCCTGTCTGCTCGAACAAGGGTGAGTCCGGGTACTTCAAAGAGAGATTCAGGCATCGTAGATTGGAGCCAACTTTCCGTGAAACACAATAAAGAGACCTCGAGAAATTCATGACAGTACCTTGTGTATGTCCTTAGTGTGTCCACGTTGTTGCTCAATGAGCGCAGGTTTGTGAGAATGATGGAAGTGGTGGTCGGCTGAATCTCCGCCGTATTCTGAACGCCTCCCCTCCTTCCTCGTCTCTTTTTCCTGGTGTTTCTAAGCGGCTCCCGAGGGATCTCATCCAATAACGAAGAGCACTATGGCTTTTTCGTAGGAGGCCGATCGCATTGTAGCCCTAGCATTGCCTCGCGTCTGTAGCAGCGTAGAGGCCGGGGCTCCTCGCTATACCTGTTCGTGCTGTCACTCAGTTGTGTCTTGGAAAGTTGAATGGCCAGACATGGTCTGCAGAAGGCAAATGTAATCCACAGGATCAAAAGCATGGTCTCTCAAAATGACGTTTCATACAGACACAACAAAGTTTAGACAAAAACACAAAACGCAAGAGGAACAGAGCATACTGAGACTCGCAGTGCCAGGATGCCGTCTCCCTCAGTCTCCTGTATACCAGAGGTGGGAGTAAGTCATACATGTGCAAGTCTCAAGTTACTGGGGTGAGAGTCAAGCAAGTCAAGTCCTACGAAATCCTGATGAATAACCCCAGTTTAAATCAGCTAAAAGACAGTGGTTATGAAACTAGAGTTTTATTTTCAACATTAACAACAATGGAGAGTGGGGCTCTGAAATCATAAAACAGGTAATAGGGGGAATAATTGTGGGGGTTAAAACGTAGCAGCCTGCGGTCGCTCGTTAGCTGTTCTAATGAAGGTAAACACAGTGAAGGCACAGCTCTTTGCAGCTGCTGCTGCTCTCCTCAGATTCTGCTAAGTTACACGTTACAGCCTCCTGGTGCTGCAGAGATTTCATGAAGTGAAGGAGGTTTTCTTCTATGAAGCAGCTGTGGGCAGCAGATACTGTGAGAGTCACAGACATGAATACATAGGTCAAGGCAGACTGGTTCACAGACTCTCCTGTTTTGCCGATCCGGTGCTTGAACAAATAACTCTACACCCCTGGCCGAAATGTCCCTAAAATGAAGTCCGAGTTTGAAATCTATCTCAAATAATGTATATATTTCCCCACATAAACATAACAGTCTGCAATGAAACGGCTGTCTCCTGTGCGCTCCACTTCCTACTTTCTCCTGCGAACGAGAAGAGACTTTCTCTCTCTTTTTTTTCTTTCATTGCCCTCTAGGTGCTTCGTACAATACAAATGCAAATATTCTATTTTAAAAAGTAAAGTCCTTTCGAGTCATCTGTCTCAAGCCTAAGTCTCAAGTCATGAATACCAAGTCAAAGTCAAGTCGAGTCTTTTATCAATGTTAGTCAAGCAAGTCTCAAGTAAAAAAATAGGCAAGTCAAGTCATGTGACTCGAGTCAAGTCATGTGACTCAAGTCCCCCACCTCTGGTATATACTTTGGTTAGAATATTGCTGTATTACTGTATCAAATATAATAAAGACAAACAGTTGATAAGTAGTATTTTGTTAACTCAAGGTTTATATTAAGTGAGTTTTTATTGTGTTAACTTGTGTATTTATGCTTTTTAGATTGACTTTCTCTCTTTCTCTGTCCGTCTGTTCTAGAAACCGAAAGGAAGAGAGAGACGTCACAGCTGTCAGCAATGTGACAAATCCTTTACAGCATCTGGAACTTTAAAGAGCCACCTGCTGATTCACACAGGAGAAAAACCGTACAGCTGTGAAGATTGTGGGACAACTTTCACTAGATCAGGTGCTCTCAAAATACATCAACGTATTCATACTGGAGAAAAACCGTACAGCTGTGAAGATTGTGGGACAACTTTCACTAGATCAGGTCATCTCAAAACACATCAACGTATTCATACTGGAGAAAAACCTTACAGCTGTGAAGAGTGTGGGACAACTTTCACTCAATCGGGTAATCTCAAAACACATCAACTTATTCATACTGAAGAAAAACCTTACAGCTGTGAAGAGTGTGGGACAACTTTCACTCAATCAGGTGCTCTCAAAACACATCAACGTATTCATACTGGAGAAAAACCGTACTGGTGTGAAGCGTGTGGGACAACTTTCACTACATCAGGTGCTCTCAAAACACATCAACGTATTCACACTGGAGAAAAACCGTACTGGTGTGAAGAGTGTGGGACAACTTTCACTACATCAGGTGCTCTCAAAACACATCAACGTATTCACACTGGAGAAAAACCTTACAGCTGTGAAGAGTGTGGGACAACTTTCGCTACATCAGGTGCTCTCAAAACACATCAACATATTCACACTGGAGAAAAACCTTACAGCTGTGAAGAGTGTGGGACAACTTTCACTACATCAGGTGCTCTCAAAACACATCAACGTATTCACACTGGAGAAAAACCTTACAGCTGTGAAGAGTGTGGGACAACTTTCACTAGATCAGGTTATCTCAAAACACATCAACGTATTCATACTGGAGAAAAACCGTACAGCTGTGAAGAGTGTGGGACAACTTTCACTAGATCAGGTTATCTCAAAACACATCAACGTATTCATACTGGAGAAAAACCTTACAGCTGTGAAGAGTGTGGGAAAACTTTCACTCAATCAGGTGCTCTCAAAACACATCAACGTATTCATACTGGAGAAAAACCTTACAGCTGTGAAGAGTGTGGGAAAACGTTCACTCAATCAGGTGATCTCAAAACACATCACCGTATTCACACTGGAGAAAAACCATACAGCTGTGAAGAGTGTGGGAAAACTTTCACTACATCAGGTGCTCTCAAAACACATCAACGTATTCATACTGGAGAAAAACCTTACTGGTGTGAAGAGTGTGGGAAAACTTTCACTTCATCAGGTGCTCTAGAATCACATCACCGTATTCACACTGGAGAAAAACCCTACTGGTGTGAAGAGTGTGGTAAAACTTTCACTGCATCAAGTGCTCTCAAAAGACATCTTCGTGTTCACTCAGGAGAAAACCCATAGTGGTTCTAAGAGTGTAGGAGCCGCAATTAAGCATATTTTGTTTTTTTCACAGTTTACAATAAACAATTCCCATCTATTGGCCTTGTGTTGGGTAATCCTTTTTTCCATTACAGATCCCATCCCAACAGCGCCATCTGTTGACGTAATGTCAGAATTGACAGGCATAATGTTCACTGTTCCTTTAAAGTGGACCTATCATGCTATATTTGAATAATATAGTGTAGGACCAAACCTATATAAGGCATATTTATACTTTTTATTTTTAAAAATACCAAACATCATGCATTTTAGCCATTCCTCATTTCGCTTAATTTAACACTGTCTTTGCATGGGCTGATTCTGTGAGAACAGCCCCATCTGTTGACGTAACGTCAGAATTGACAGGCATAATGTTCACTGTTCCTTTAAGTTTCGTTTTCTGTCCGTCTGCCGACAGCGCGCTGTTTCATTGCTTTACATACCAAGGTTTAAGTACACTGTGTCAATAGTTGTAGTATGAGTATCTGCTGAGGCTGGGCTGGCCGTCTGATAGAAACGGTATGCTCTTCCTCCTGTGTCCACTTCCTCTCCTGTCACCTATGACCCATTTTATACACCCCACCACCAAGTGTTCAAATTAACATTCAGGGTGTCCGCGGGGTCTTAAAAGTTGATAAATCAATTTAGCGAAAATTAAGGCTATTAAAAAGTATTAAACGGCATTTTCCAAGGTATTAAGAAGGTCCACAGCAACGACAACAAGAAACACCCTTTAATTTACTGAAACAACATGTCGGGAAACCCCCTCAAGGTGAATGAAAGAGCACAGAGTACAGAAGCATGTTATGTTATGTATGCTTTTTGATTAGATTTCTAGCGAAAAGTGTATATTGTGCTCTTAGAATCCACGTCCAGTGGATGTGTAGGATCTATAGTTTGATAGATATTACGAAGATGATCTGAGGTCTCATCAGGATAACGTGTATGCAGCTTCCATGCAAAGTTAGCGTGGGTGAAAAAAGTTTTTCCGGTCTCGAAGTTTTCACAATAAAACCGGATATATTCCCTCACTGTCAAATGATTACACAGTGATATCTGCATTACTCATCCACTAGAAAACATCAGTTTATCCTTGTTAATTACACAATATTGATTGGTTTAAATGGTGTACAATGCTTTTGTGTTTTTAACCTTCGATTCAGAGAAACAAATAGGAGTTTTGACACTACAGTTTCCGAAGGCACTACACTACCCAGAATCCCCAGCTATCGTTTGGGACTACAACATCCGCCTTGCTTTACAAACCCCGTGATTAGTCATCAAGCCCTGTGATTGGATGTTGGAGTGGCAGTGCGGCAAGGTTACGCTGAGCGTCAACAGCTCTTTGAAATGGAATGGAGCCACGGCAGACTTTCCAAAACTGGAATTGGACAGCACATTTAGCAAATATGGCAGCATCCATCGATCATCTTAAGATAAGATATACTTTATTGATCCCAAGTTGAGAAATGTTTTTGTTACAGCAGCATGCTACTATGTTCTACTCCACTACAATTCAGAGGTTAACCTGGTATTTTTACTCCACTACATTTATTTTAGTTCCTTTGCAGATTGTGATTAATGATGTGAACTATAAACAACCCTTAAATCAGACTTTAGTTACACCTGCCTCAAATTCAGGGAAGGTGATTGTCAAGTGCCAAAATAAACTATGCAATATATTGGACGTTAAGTACTTTGTCAGAATTCATATTTATCTGTGGATAACCCCAACGTTTTTGTCTTATTCAAGAAGACCTTAACTTAAAGTAATGTTTAATGTTTAAATAAAGCCTAGTTGGTCTGTTTTGCATCCTCCTGTTAATATCTTTGGACGTCCTGCACTCAACTGTTTTAGAGATCACTACAGTGTCTTCTTGATATTTTATATTGTGTATGTAGGCTACTCTTAATATTGAAATGTTTTCATCAAATAAAACTTCTTCAACAACAACATTCAATAACGTGCTTTAACCACTAGGCGGCGCGGGTTAAAAAACCAGTGGTGTAGTTAATAAAACATAATAATATCAAACATAATGTGACTATTAACTTTATTGTGAAATGAAAACAGAACGGTAAAGGAAAACACAGTTTCAGTCTCTCGATGTGAAGCTTATGCATTGTACCATGAACCTGGATAGACCTGTAACAGTCAACTGCATGAGGAGTTGGAAAGGTAATGAATGAATTAAAATGTCGAACTCTGACTTCATTTTAAGGACATGTCGGCCAGGGATGTAGAGCTATATTTGTTTAACCACCGGATTGGCAAAACAGGAGAGTGTGTGCACCAGTCTGCCTTGATCTATGTATTCATGTCTGTGACTCTCACAGTATCTGCTGCCCACAGCTGCTTTATGGAAGGAACACCTCCTTCACTTCATGAAATCTCTGCAGCACCAGGAGGCAGCTGATGTGTTTTAACCACACACACACACACACGATTTAAACGCAGACTTCTGTTCCTCCATGTTTCGTTGTTATCGTTTCACTGAGCGGACCCGCCCCTTTTTTTTTTCAAACCCTCCCTTTTCTGGTCCGTCTGTGGCGGTAACAGGTTTTGTGCGCTGTGATGATTCGGCTGTACCTTTAGTAATGAATATTAAATGTTCATTTGATCATTGGTTTTATTATGAAAACGTCGAGACAGGAAATACTGTTTTCAACTCGTAACTTTACATGGAGGCTGCCGCATACCTCAAATCATCTTCCTAATATCTATGGAACTATAGATCCTACACATCGACTGGACGTGGATTCTAAAAGTACAATATACACTTCTCGCTAGAAATCTAATCAAAAAGCGTTTTAATGCCAAACTATCCTACAATTGAACAAACGACATATTTGGTCGTATGAGTTGGAGGACTTGTTGAAACAGACTCGTAACCCTGCATATTTGTTGTGTTTTGCAGCATATTATAAACATGCCATTCCCTTATCTTCAAATACCCCAGGTTGTGTAGTGATGTATTTGAGGTGTACTGTCCACATCGCAGACCTGAAGTCGTGCAGTCAATGTATGCGAAGTGTACAGGACCTTGGTCTCTGAGACTCAAAAAAGCCTTTCTCGCCTACCTGTCCACTTTGCAGACCTGAGATCCTGCAGTCATTTCTCAAAGATGGTGTGGCATATAGGGAGGTGCAATCTCCTGATGGTATAGACTGTATTATAGTGGACATCTGCAACCCTAGAAAACAAGATAACATTAGGATAATCAATGTATACAACCCATGTCCAAATCTAACCACTGATATATTTAAAGAAATAGCAGAATATAAACATAGGAAGGAAGTCTGGTGTGGTGATTTCAATGCACACAACAGTCTATGGGGCAGCAACCATACAGACAGTAACGGAAACATAGTGGAAGAAATGCTGGAGGAAAGAACACTAGTATTCTTATAGAATTCTTATCTGAATTCTCTGAGTTTTTATCAACTTTGGTTCTTAAAACAGATAAAGTAATTATCGTAGGTGACTTTAATATTCATGTTGACGATGATAAAAATAGCCTTACTGTTGCATTTAACTCTATATTAGATTCTGTTGGTTTTTGTCAGAGTGTAAATAAACCAACCCACTGCTATAATCACACTCTCGACCTTGTTCTGACTTATGGTATTGAAATTGAGCAACTATTAGTCGAACCGCATAATCCTGCTTTATCCGACCATTTCTTAGTAACTTTTGAAGTACTGTTACGAGACTACAAAGCATTAGTCAAAAGCTCCTGCAGCAGAAACCTATCTGTTAGTGCTATAGCCAAATTTAAGGAAGAGATTCCACCAATACTTAACTCGATAGCATGTCTGCATGTAAGGAACATGTCTGTCTTATAGACAGAGTTAACATGTGACTTGTCCTTCAAATTTACGGAAGTCCGCACAATGGAAATGTGATGTCAACTACCAATGTAAATTCCCCGCCGATGGCACGACAAATGTTACCAACTATGCCTACACACATGCAACCATTGGGGGTTCTATTTTGTTGTTATTCAGTGTTACCAGGGGCACGAACTTCTGACCGGTGTTCCCTCTTGGTTTAGTCCGTGGGGGAGTGCTTAAGTGTGGGTACACAGGTTCACCTGGTGCACAAGGTTATGGAGGTGGGGGTCTTGCTGGTGCTCAAGTGCCCATATACATCACCCCATGTTCCCATGACTGTTACCCTGCTAAAGAGACACTATTTCGGGGTAAACTGTATCCATGTTGACCCCTGGTTCTTGTTCCTTGTACCCTGGATGCATGTAGATGGGCCTGGAAGAATGCAATGTGGAGTTCCAATGCAAATCGGCTTAAGTCCAGTCAGGGTCTGGACATGTTGCCATGACTGTTACCCTGCTAAAGAGACACTATTTCGGGGTAAACTGTATCCATGTTGACCCCTGGTTCTTCATCCTTATACCCTGGATGTATGTTGGTGTCCCTGGAAGAATGCAATGTGGAGTTCCAATGCAAATCGGCTTAAGTCCAGTCAGGGTCTGGACATGTTGCCATGACTGTTACCCTGCTAAAGAGACACTATTTCGGGGTAAACTGTATCCATGTTGACCCCTGGTTCTTCATCCTTATACCCTGGATGTATGTTGGTGTCCCTGGAAGAATGCAATGTGGAGTTCCAATGCAAATCGGCTTAAGTCCAGTCAGGGTCTGGACATGTTGCCATGACTGTTACCCTGCTAAAGAGACACTATTTCGGGGTAAACTGTATCCATGTTGACCCCTGGTTCTTCATCCTTATACCCTGGATGTATGTTGGTGTCCCTGGAAGAATGCAATGTGGAGTTCCAATGCAAATCGGCTTAAGTCCAGTCAGGGTCTGGACATGTTGCCATGACTGTTACCCTGCTAAAGAGACACTATTTCGGGGTAAACTGTATCCATGTTGACCCCTGGTTCTTCATCCTTATACCCTGGATGTATGTTGGTGTCCCTGGAAGAATGCAATG